GCCAGGAGTAAAATAGAGGAAACCACATATAAACAAAAGAGACAAAGAGATTAAAGTAATTAGGAAAACTGACAGAATGGGAAAAAGAAAAGATGATCCAATACAATGATAAGTGATGTCTCTCAAACAGGGAGACAAAAAAAAAAAAAAAAGGAAATAGTATACTAAAAGACCTAATACAAGAACATTTTCCTGAGTTAGAGAAAACATTGTTCAAAAATCACATTGTAACATAGGAAAATTTTAAATGCCATATTTGAAACCAAAAACATATAGATTTTAAAGATAAGGGAAGATATCTGGGTAAAAAGGTAATTTACTTTCAAAGAGAAGAAGATGAAGTTGGCTTCATATTATACCACAGCAATAGTCAATGACAAAAAATACTCAAGGAATATCTATACGTCCTAAAGGGAAGAGAATATAGTCCAAGAACACTGTATCTACTCAAAAATAAGTTGAGTTTAATAGCAATAGATTGACATTCTCAAATATTAACTAAATCAAAGAATATAACACTCAAGATCTTCTTAAAACATATTACTTGACATTCCAACAAATTGTTAACTTAGGTTCAATAAAAACTCAGGAATAGAGAATTTATGTTAAAGGGAATGAAAATGAGCAATGAGTACATTTAAAGCTACCTCTTTTCATTTACTTATAGAATTTAATAAAGACAAAAATTATTGACGATAATGTGTGATTAAGCTACTATGCAGCATATTCTGGATGGGAAATCACATTTTGTATGCTGTGACAATGCTCAGTGAATGAATGTAAATTAATTAAAAACAATTTTTTTTTAAAAAAGAACTTAACAAAGGCTACATCTAATCAATATTTATTTCATTTTCCGGAACAATATATACACTTTGGAATGCCTGAATGAGTGTATCCTCTCACCTCCCAAGTGATCATTGTCCAGTATCTTAGTTTTACTCTTTAAAAGCATTACTTCTGGGGCCAGCAGTTGGCATAATGGCTATGTTTCTGGACTCCCATGTAATGGACTGAGGTTCGGACCTGGTGGCTTAAACTCACACCGGGTGCGTGTGCGTGTGTGTTCAAGATCCTGAGAGGAGAATGGAGGAGAAGGGATTGCGGTGTGGCCATCCTCCCTGGGAGGTGATTTCTCGCTTTCTGTCTGTCTCTGTCTTTCTGGCGAGTGCACGCATCCTATAGCAAAAACCTCTCCTCCCAAAAAAGAAATTATTCTGAAATAACAATTTATTTTCTTTTATAGTAAACTCTTAGAGCTTTTAACAAAACTTTTTTTCAGTTTTTTTGCTCATCATTGCTTACTACAATCCATTAATTGAATTTCCTGTTTTTATATTAAAAATTTAAAAATTTTATTTTCTTCTTTTTTATAACATTTAATCACTGTACATCTCCATAGTATACAAAATGAACCTTCCTATCATGAATATACTGCATATCAGTGTAGTCAAAGACATTATCATACACATTATCATCAATAGATAATTTTCCACTTTTGCATATGTTAAATGTTTTTTGCTGTATGTTTTTTCATATGCTTTTGACTGTATGTCTTTTTTGGAGAGTTGTCTGTTCAGTATATTTGTCCATCTTTTAATTGATTTTTTAAAAAAATTATTTATTTGATTTTAATTATTATTATTTTAAAATTTGCTATAGAGTTCATGCACTCACCAGAGAGAAAGAGAGGGAAAGTGCAAAAGTAAGCAGTCAGACCCGGGATTCAAACAGTGTTGGCCATGTGGTAGTCCAGTGTCTTAACAACAATGTCACCCCCTGGCAATGGAGTCATTTTGTTTTTCTTTCATAGGGCGTGTGTGCTCAGTGGAGAGAGACAAAGAGAGACAATGAGAGGGAAAGTGAGAAATCACCCCGTAGGAAGGATGGCCATACAGCAATCCCTTCTCTTTTGTTCTCTAGAAATGTGGGGCATACACACATGCACATATGCCTGGCACGATTTTCAAACCATTGGGTCAAGCATTCAGACTGCAGTCAGCCATACGGGAGTTCAATACCTTAACTACCACATCACCTGCTGGCCCTGGGTTAACTATGTTTTGGGGGCTAAGGTGCTTGAGCTCCCTGTATATTCTGGTTCTCAGTCCCTTATCTGAGGCATAGTTTGCCAATATAGTCTCCCATTCAGAGGGTTGTCTCTTCATTTTAATTATTGTTTCTTTTGCTGTGCAGAAGCTTTTTAACCTGATGTAATCTCACTTGTAATCTCATTTTTAGGATTAATGCCTGTGCTTTGGGGGTCTTATTTAAGAAGTCTTTGCCTATTCCAACAACTCCAAGAATTTCCTCTGTGTTTTCCACCAGCAGTTTTATAGTTTGAGGTTTTACGTTCAGATCTTTGATCCATTTTGAGTTGATTTTTGTTAAGTATATCTGTAGTTATGTCAGTGAGAAGGGGAAATTTCGGTTTTATTTCATTTAGAAATATTTGTATTTTTTTCTTTGCTTTTGGAATAATAATTTTACTAAGCATGAAATTCTCAATTGATAGGTATGTTGACTCAGCGCTTTGGAGATATTACTTATTTCATTATCATCTAGTTTCTACTGTTGCTTTTTTTTAAAGAAACTTTTGCCTTAGGGCACACACTTTTGTTGGAGAGGAAGACAGAGACAGAGACAGTGAGAGGGAAAGTGAGAAATCACACCTCCGGGATGATGGCCACACCACAATCCCTTCTTCTCCATTCTTCCAGAACCTTGGCCATGCACACACAGGTGCTCAGTGTGATTTTCAAGCCACTCGAACTGTGGCTACCCATGTGGGAGTCCAGTGACTAACTGCTACCTATTCTGCTGGTCCTCTATTATCGCTTTTGAGAAAACAACTGTCAGACTTGTTCATTTGTAGGTAATTTAACTCTTTCTCTCTAGTTGCTTTAGGTCTTTTCACAATATGCTTCTGGAAGTGAAAATTCCCTTCACTTCCTTTTTTACCTTTCTGGTCCCTATCCTTTTTGTTCTTTTCTTTCTCTCCTCTCCTCTCTTCTTTTCCTTTCTTTTGCTTTACTTTGAGTTTCCTTCTTTTTATTATTCACACTTTTTTTTTAGTTTCCTCTTTCTTTCATATTCTTAGATAAACTTCAGAATATCTACTGTCTCAAAACATTAAAGAGAATTTTAAATTTGATTTAATTTCAATTAGTCTATTAATTAGCTTGGAACAAAGTGATGCTTTTAGTAGCTTAATATTCCTGTTTTGGAACATGTTATTTCTATCAATTTACAAATGTCTCCCAGTAAATGTTTGTTTATTTGTCAAATTATCTTTTTTTTTTTTTGTAGAGGTGTTTGCTATAGGGCGCGTGCATTTGCCAGAAAGACAGAGAGAGAGAGATAGAAAGCGAGAAATTACCCCCCACACACCAGGGAGGATGGCCACGCCACAATCCCTTCTCCTCCATTCTCCTCTCAGGATCTTGGGCATGCACTCACACACACCCGGTGTGAGTTTAAGCCACCAGGTCCGAACTGCAGTCCATTACATGGGAGTCCAGCAACATAGCCATTACGCCAACTGCTGGTCTCTATTTGTCAAATTATCTTGTGTAATTCTGTTAAATGAGCTTATAGGTTTTACTACATTGTTGTTCTTATTTTGAGTAGACTGTTTTCTTAAAAAAAATCACACTCATTTCTTGGTGACACTTTTTTTTTTTTTTTTTTTTAGAGGTTTTTGCTATAGGGCACGTGCGCTTGCCAGAAAGAGAGAGACAGGAGTTTAGAAAGCGAGAAATCATCCCCCCTCCCAGGGGGGATGGCCATGCCGCAATCCCTTCTCCTCCATTCTCCTCTTGGGATCTTAGGCATACATGCATGTGCACCCAGCGTGAGTTTAAGCCACCGAGACCAGGACTCGAACTGTGGATGACTACATGGGAGTCCAGCGACATAGCCATCACACTATCTGCTAGTCCCGGTGACACTTCTTGATGGATGTATGGTTTCCTCGGAGAATTAGATAGTGATGATGATTGTTCAAGATAGTGACTGTAGTAAATACCATTGCATAGTACCCCTAAATAGTTAAAATGGTGAGTTTTATGTTATGTGAATTTTATAATAATAAATAACACATCTTTCCTTAAAAACCCACATTCCCTATTTTGTTCTTGCTGCATTAAAGAAATCTACTGATTTTTGTATTTTTAAAAATCTGGATAGATTGAATTCCACATAGTATGTAGGGAAGTAGCATAAAGGTGAGACTGCAGAGGGTTAGCAAACAGCATTCTGAGAGATAAAATAAAAGGTGCCAAATTTGTGTTTAAAGATAAGTCTGTTATAGTTTATTAGAAAAATTAGATGAACAGAAAGTACATTTTATTTTCAAAAAGGCAGAGAAAGAAAAATAGTAATTGATTATGGCCAAGAGAAAAATGTTTAATGTATTTAATTTTTCTGCCAAAATAAAGGCTAAATTTGAATGCAAAGATTGAGTCAAAGTTAAGGGGGGGAGATAATTACACAGAAAGCCTAGGCCTATTAAAATTAGTAAAGTTTGGATGATATGTATGGAACAATGCTGAAAGAGACTGAGAAATTTCAATGTGCAGTTAGTAGAGACCACTTTGAGACACAATACAGTATACCTAACTTCTTT